AAAATCCAAAAAAAAAAAAAAGAGAATTTTTTTTATGGTGGTGGTGATGATGGTGATGAAGAGACGGATACCTACGATGATGAAAGCTGTGGCTTCTAACGTGAATGAGGGTGCAATGAGCGTTCTTGTCGACCAAAAGGTTGTCAACTGCCCATTTCACAGCACACTGGCTGTTCTTATCTCTGTTGATGGCAACCAGGGTGGGGCCGACGTCCTCACCCACTGATCTTGATCTGAAAAGCGCCATTTAAACCCGAGCAACGCCTGCTGCCGCCGCTGCCTCTGCCACGGGAGCTAGTAGCTGCAAAAGGAAGATTGAGAGTTGAGGAAGAAAAAAAAGGGGGAGGAAAAGTGGTGTTTTGGTTATTGCTGTTGCGCTACATATTTGGATGGTGTGACATTGGAAAAACCAACTTCCACTAACCAATTTATAGAATGCTATCCTCTCTTTTCTCGCTAACATTGCAAAGTGATGGCCCGGAACTTGGAGTTGGTTGTTCTCACAGGTCACACTTCTAGAAGTAGAGAGACTGCCTTTTCTGGTTGTCTAGGTAATAACTGAACATCTAGCAACTGCAATTGAATTCATAAAAATAAAAAGAATTGGGCGTTGACTATGGATTGTTGCGAGTCTTTGCTCAAGCGGCATGAAATTTGTTGTAAAGACACACATCATAGATTCGGTGTTTCGTGACGTGCATATATGACGTGTATTTTAAGGTAAAAAATTATAATTTTAGAATATAAAGTAGCATTGCATTTTAGGCGCAAGTATGAAAATTGTGTGGTAAATGCCTTCGAACGCGTTTTTAACAAACATATTTTCTTAAAATGCTTTCAATATATATCCATCTTTTTGGCTTGAAAGAACTCATAAGATATGTGGAAATCGAATTTGTGTTGGGAAATTTGACTTCAAATCTTAGTGAAAAATGGCGTTGAAATTAGGTATTAATTATTACCCAAAAAGAAGAAGAAGAAAAAATAGTAAATTTCAGCCTGTGTATCTCCTTGCCTATTAAGATGATACTGGCCAGAAGCCCAGAGAAAGAAGTACCTACTAACATTACTTCTACGCCTAGTTTTCCAGCTCCAAGCCCACATCCCTACCAATAAACAAACAAGCATGAGCCCTACTACCAAATCCGATCCATCACCTTTATTGTCGTAACTTAACCACTTAGGTTCAATTTGATTAAAAAAAAAAAGAAAAAAAAAACCGCTTAGGTTCAATCGGTTAGGTATAACCGATTTATATATGGGGTTTTATCTAAAAAAGTCTCAATGCAATTAATTTCTACAAAAACATAGATTATTATGGTATTCTCCGATGTGAAATTATACTCGTTGGTTCACATTACTGGCTTGGGTAGAGCTACACAATCCCAAGAGAGACTCTCATCTGAATACCACTAAACCAAATAATCAATTGCAGATTAAATCTCTTCATAGCCCCCATTAGTTTTCATAATTTTCCGTTGGTTTTTAAGGTTTTGATTTGACCTCGCAGTAAATTGGAAATCGTAAACTGTAAATTGTAATCACCAAACGACGACCAAGCAACATCGAGATCGAGTGACAAGTAGCACGAGCTAACAAAAACAAGAGTACTGTGCAGGTAGACAGACATTATTGGTCCTAATTAAGTGTCGTTTTCAGTCCACGGACACGTGTCTTTCCTCAAAGTTTGTCTCATGAAAAGTCCATGGGGGTAGTTGTCTTCGTGTCAGCAGTGTCCTCTCCTCAGCATTTTCTGTCGCACAGAGACCTTCAAGTGATGTAACATTATTACATATCATCATGTATACGTGTCCCCAAATGGAGTACATGGTGAAAAGGAAAGGCATTTCCACACAACACAAGAATCTCTCTCCCTCTCTCTCTCTTGGAGCCTCCCTCCATGCCCCAAGAAACAGAGAGAACAAATTTAGGGAAAGAGGCTTCTTCACCCATTGACCATGTTTTTCTGAATTCAAGTCTCTTCAGCTTCAGCTGGTAAGTACCCACTAAGTTTTTCTTATATTTTGTGTGATTTTTCTTTCCTATTTGTGTTTAGGAACTGATCAGGATCATGTATTAATTAGCATATCCAGATGTTCTGTCTTTGTGTAATCTATTGTGATGGTTGTTGATGATTTGGGGTTGCCTGTGTTCCTTGGAAGAAGAAGAAGGAGAAGGAGAAGAAGATATATAAAAGATACTTTTTAGATAGGCTGACCGAGTTGGGTTGCCTTAGATCCAGGAAAACCCAAGTTCTGTGTCAAAAAGTTTTCACCTTTGTCTGGTTTTCTTGTGATTACTAGTGTTAGTTTCCTTTTTCCTAGGTTCTTTCTCATGAACCCTTTGCTTTCTCTTCTTGGATTTATAGATAAACGTCAGATTGCAGTTATTTTCATGTGCTTATGTGTATATTTGAGGGTTGGTGGTGAGGATAGGATTTTGGTATTATGTGGCTGATTCTCTGCCAGGAGGAGAAGAGTTTGGTAAGCTAGCGCATTTGGAACATCAATGTCGTGGAGGACAACTTCCTTGGCTACAATCTGAAAAGCTTGTTGTCAATAACAGAAAAATCAGGTCACATCATGATTTTAATCTATCAGACAATATCCATGTGAAAAGATTTGGCAAGTTCCTTTTAACCTTCCATACATATATCTATCTTTAGCACACATGAACTAATTAACCAAGTCTGTGTGGAAGGCCATACATGATTGTGTTTTATCAAGAGAGAAATTGTAAGTTTAAACCATTCAAAAACTAGCCAAAAAGCATATGCATAAGGACTAATTAAACAAACGCTTTATATATTTTTAAAGTCCACCACAACATACACTTCCAGTTCCTGGTGAGCTACTATTAGGGTTGAAAAGGCTTCAGTCTACATGGAAATCAAATGATCAATCACTAACCCCTTTTCGCGCACAGAATCCTCGGTAGGGGAGAAAGAACTGTTGCAACTCGGCTTCAGTTGGTGGGCGGCCATCTTTAGAGACTGCTCCATGATCATCTGCAAAACCAAGAGCACATATCAAGCACATACACAATCTTAATGAGATATATATGACCATGAAAAGGCAAATGATGATGCCTGATCATTACATTTAACAACAAAATTAATGACAAAAAATTCCTATACACAAGGCTTATGGTGGGGTTAAGAATTAATCTTCTACTTGCACAAAAAGAAAAGAAAAAAGGGCTTATGGATATGCAACCATGACTGACATATGCCATAAACCATGCACTAAGGGGCAAATGCCACCTCCAAAATCCAAAAAAAAAAAAAAGAGAATTTTTTTTATGGTGGTGATGATGATGGTGATGAAGAGACGGATACCTACGATGATGAAAGCTGTGGCTTCTAACGTGAATGAGGGTGCAATGAGCGTTCTTGTCGACCAAAAGGTTGTCAACTGCCCATTTCACAGCACACTGGCTGTTCTTATCTCTGTTGATGGCAACCAGGGTGGGGCCGACGTCCTCACCCACTGATCTTGATCTGAAAAGCGCCATTTAAACCCGAGCAACGCCTGCTGCCGCCGCTGCCTCTGCCACGGGAGCTAGTAGCTGCAAAAGGAAGATTGAGAGTTGAGGAAGAAAAAAAAGGGGGAGGAAAAGTGGTGTTTTGGTTATTGCTGTTGCGCTACATATTTGGATGGTGTGACATTGGAAAAACCAACTTCCACTAACCAATTTATAGAATGCTATCCTCTCTTTTCTCGCTAACATTGCAAAGTGATGGCCCGGAACTTGGAGTTGGTTGTTCTCACAGGTCACACTTCTAGAAGTAGAGAGACTGCCTTTTCTGGTTGTCTAGGTAATAACTGAACATCTAGCAACTGCAATTGAATTCATAAAAATAAAAAGAATTGGGCGTTGACTATGGATTGTTGCGAGTCTTTGCTCAAGCGGCATGAAATTTGTTGTAAAGACACACATCATAGATTCGGTGTTTCGTGACGTGCATATATGACGTGTATTTTAAGGAAAGAAATTATAATTTTAGAATATAAAGTAGCATTGCATTTTAGGCGCAAGTATGAAAATTGTGTGGTAAATGCCTTCGAACGCGTTTTTAACAAACATATTTTCTTAAAATGCTTTCAATATATATCCATCTTTTTGGCTTGAAAGAACTCATAAGATATGTGGAAATCGAATTTGTGTTGGGAAATTTGACTTCAAATCTTAGTGAAAAATGGCGTTGAAATTAGGTATTAATTATTACCCAAAAAGAAGAAGAAGAAAAAATAGTAAATTTCAGCCTGTGTATCTCCTTGCCTATTAAGATGATACTGGCCAGAAGCCCAGAGAAAGAAGTACCTACTAACATTACTTCTACGCCTAGTTTTCCAGCTCCAAGCCCACATCCCTACCAATAAACAAACAAGCATGAGCCCTACTACCAAATCCGATCCATCACCTTTATTGTCGTAACTTAACCACTTAGGTTCAATTTGATTAAAAAAAAAAAGAAAAAAAAAACCGCTTAGGTTCAATCGGTTAGGTATAACCGATTTATATATGGGGTTTTATCTAAAAAAGTCTCAATGCAATTAATTTCTACAAAAACATAGATTATTATGGTATTCTCCGATGTGAAATTATACTCGTTGGTTCACATTACTGGCTTGGGTAGAGCTACACAATCCCAAGAGAGACTCTCATCTGAATACCACTAAACCAAATAATCAATTGCAGATTAAATCTCTTCATAGCCCCCATTAGTTTTCATAATTTTCCGTTGGTTTTTAAGGTTTTGATTTGACCTCGCAGTAAATTGGAAATCGTAAACTGTAAATTGTAATCACCAAACGACGACCAAGCAACATCGAGATCGAGTGACAAGTAGCACGAGCTAACAAAAACAAGAGTACTGTGCAGGTAGACAGACATTATTGGTCCTAATTAAGTGTCGTTTTCAGTCCACGGACACGTGTCTTTCCTCAAAGTTTGTCTCATGAAAAGTCCATGGGGGTAGTTGTCTTCGTGTCAGCAGTGTCCTCTCCTCAGCATTTTCTGTCGCACAGAGACCTTCAAGTGATGTAACATTATTACATATCATCATGTATACGTGTCCCCAAATGGAGTACATGGTGAAAAGGAAAGGCATTTCCACACAACACAAGAATCTCTCTCCCTCTCTCTCTCTTGGAGCCTCCCTCCATGCCCCAAGAAACAGAGAGAACAAATTTAGGGAAAGAGGCTTCTTCACCCATTGACCATGTTTTTCTGAATTCAAGTCTCTTCAGCTTCAGCTGGTAAGTACCCACTAAGTTTTTCTTATATTTTGTGTGATTTTTCTTTCCTATTTGTGTTTAGGAACTGATCAGGATCATGTATTAATTAGCATATCCAGATGTTCTGTCTTTGTGTAATCTATTGTGATGGTTGTTGATGATTTGGGGTTGCCTGTGTTCCTTGGAAGAAGAAGAAGGAGAAGGAGAAGAAGATATATAAAAGATACTTTTTAGATAGGCTGACCGAGTTGGGTTGCCTTAGATCCAGGAAAACCCAAGTTCTGTGTCAAAAAGTTTTCACCTTTGTCTGGTTTTCTTGTGATTACTAGTGTTAGTTTCCTTTTTCCTAGGTTCTTTCTCATGAACCCTTTGCTTTCTCTTCTTGGATTTATAGATAAACGTCAGATTGCAGTTATTTTCATGTGCTTATGTGTATATTTGAGGGTTGGTGGTGAGGATAGGATTTTGGTATTATGTGGCTGATTCTCTGCCAGGAGGAGAAGAGTTTGGTAAGCTAAGCACTACATAAGAAGCCCAATTTGCCTTTGAAGTCTTGAAATTTTTGTCACTGGGAGATTAGATCCATTGTTGCCCACCAGATCTGCTGACCCCATTTCATTCTGCTCATGTTTAGCACATACCCATCTCTTATTTGATCTTAGTGGTGTAATTGTTGTTTGTGTTACTATAACTGTGAGAGGATTGGGGGATCAGTGATATAATCTGCAAAAGAGGAGATATTGTCTATCCTTAAGAATTTTACCCTAGTTCATTGCTGGAAGGTGTTGGAGGGAATTACAAATTGTAAATTTACTTTACTGAGTGGAGATTGAAGGTAACTGTTAAATGGTACAAAGACAAAGGAAATTGATGGAAGACATGTCTCCAGCAGTTGCAGTGACACTTAGTTTAGGTAATTCTATATGTGATAATTCTGGAATTGCAGCCAATGTGGAGTTCACATGGCTAAAGCTAGTAACAGACCCTGGAAGTTTGTCATCAGATTCCATTAAGGCGGTGCCTTTAGAGTCAGTTTCGTGCAGCAATGGAAGTTGCAATGATATACAAAGTCACGCTACTGTGGTGGCCATGTCATCAGAAGAAGATAATGGTGGAGAGGGTTTGTTAAAGATGCTACCAGAGAGTGGAAACACTTCTGTTAGTAATGATGCCATGGTTCAAGAAAGTGAGGGAGGTGAAATCTTATCCTTTAGATATGATACTAATGGAATTGATAGTGAGGAATTGCTTAAGTTAGAGGTGGGGCCTGCGATAAGCTTGCCAGATGTTGTGGAGATAGGAAATGCTGTCGAAGGTAAGATTGTTGCAAAAGCCATTGTCTTGGTAGAATCAGCTCTTGGGAAAATGCCGTCGGGTGAAGTCATTGTTGCAGCAGTTAGCTCGGCTTCTGAGTTATCAGATAAGTCTGATTTAACAACCTCTACAGTACATATCCAGTCAAATGGGGAGAAGAATGTCAGTAAAGCAAGTATCCGGAGTGTTTTTGAGCTGGACTGTATTCCCCTCTGGGGTTCTGTATCAATTTGTGGAAGAAGACCAGAAATGGAGGATGCAATTGCTGCTGTTCCTCGGTTTATTAATATTCCAATTAAAATGCTCATTGGGAATCAATTGTATAATGGAATGAGCCAAAGTTTGACCCACCTAACCAGTCACTTTTTTGGCATTTATGATGGCCATGGGGGGCCTCAGGTAAACGCCTTCTTCATACGTTTATTTTATTCATTCAAGTTAAGATTGAGAGTTGAGGAAGAAAAAAAAGGGGGAGGAAAAGTGGTGTTTTGGTTATTGCTGTTGCGCTACATATTTGGATGGTGTGACATTGGAAAAACCAACTTCCACTAACCAATTTATAGAATGCTATCCTCTCTTTTCTCGCTAACATTGCAAAGTGATGGCCCGGAACTTGGAGTTGGTTGTTCTCACAGGTCACACTTCTAGAAGTAGAGAGACTGCCTTTTCTGGTTGTCTAGGTAATAACTGAACATCTAGCAACTGCAATTGAATTCATAAAAATAAAAAGAATTGGGCGTTGACTATGGATTGTTGCGAGTCTTTGCTCAAGCGGCATGAAATTTGTTGTAAAGACACACATCATAGATTCGGTGTTTCGTGACGTGCATATATGACGTGTATTTTAAGGTAAAAAATTATAATTTTAGAATATAAAGTAGCATTGCATTTTAGGCGCAAGTATGAAAATTGTGTGGTAAATGCCTTCGAACGCGTTTTTAACAAACATATTTTCTTAAAATGCTTTCAATATATATCCATCTTTTTGGCTTGAAAGAACTCATAAGATATGTGGAAATCGAATTTGTGTTGGGAAATTTGACTTCAAATCTTAGTGAAAAATGGCGTTGAAATTAGGTATTAATTATTACCCAAAAAGAAGAAGAAGAAAAAATAGTAAATTTCAGCCTGTGTATCTCCTTGCCTATTAAGATGATACTGGCCAGAAGCCCAGAGAAAGAAGTACCTACTAACATTACTTCTACGCCTAGTTTTCCAGCTCCAAGCCCACATCCCTACCAATAAACAAACAAGCATGAGCCCTACTACCAAATCCGATCCATCACCTTTATTGTCGTAACTTAACCACTTAGGTTCAATTTGATTAAAAAAAAAAAGAAAAAAAAAACCGCTTAGGTTCAATCGGTTAGGTATAACCGATTTATATATGGGGTTTTATCTAAAAAAGTCTCAATGCAATTAATTTCTACAAAAACATAGATTATTATGGTATTCTCCGATGTGAAATTATACTCGTTGGTTCACATTACTGGCTTGGGTAGAGCTACACAATCCCAAGAGAGACTCTCATCTGAATACCACTAAACCAAATAATCAATTGCAGATTAAATCTCTTCATAGCCCCCATTAGTTTTCATAATTTTCCGTTGGTTTTTAAGGTTTTGATTTGACCTCGCAGTAAATTGGAAATCGTAAACTGTAAATTGTAATCACCAAACGACGACCAAGCAACATCGAGATCGAGTGACAAGTAGCACGAGCTAACAAAAACAAGAGTACTGTGCAGGTAGACAGACATTATTGGTCCTAATTAAGTGTCGTTTTCAGTCCACGGACACGTGTCTTTCCTCAAAGTTTGTCTCATGAAAAGTCCATGGGGGTAGTTGTCTTCGTGTCAGCAGTGTCCTCTCCTCAGCATTTTCTGTCGCACAGAGACCTTCAAGTGATGTAACATTATTACATATCATCATGTATACGTGTCCCCAAATGGAGTACATGGTGAAAAGGAAAGGCATTTCCACACAACACAAGAATCTCTCTCCCTCTCTCTCTCTTGGAGCCTCCCTCCATGCCCCAAGAAACAGAGAGAACAAATTTAGGGAAAGAGGCTTCTTCACCCATTGACCATGTTTTTCTGAATTCAAGTCTCTTCAGCTTCAGCTGGTAAGTACCCACTAAGTTTTTCTTATATTTTGTGTGATTTTTCTTTCCTATTTGTGTTTAGGAACTGATCAGGATCATGTATTAATTAGCATATCCAGATGTTCTGTCTTTGTGTAATCTATTGTGATGGTTGTTGATGATTTGGGGTTGCCTGTGTTCCTTGGAAGAAGAAGAAGGAGAAGGAGAAGAAGATATATAAAAGATACTTTTTAGATAGGCTGACCGAGTTGGGTTGCCTTAGATCCAGGAAAACCCAAGTTCTGTGTCAAAAAGTTTTCACCTTTGTCTGGTTTTCTTGTGATTACTAGTGTTAGTTTCCTTTTTCCTAGGTTCTTTCTCATGAACCCTTTGCTTTCTCTTCTTGGATTTATAGATAAACGTCAGATTGCAGTTATTTTCATGTGCTTATGTGTATATTTGAGGGTTGGTGGTGAGGATAGGATTTTGGTATTATGTGGCTGATTCTCTGCCAGGAGGAGAAGAGTTTGGTAAGCTAAGCACTACATAAGAAGCCCAATTTGCCTTTGAAGTCTTGAAATTTTTGTCACTGGGAGATTAGATCCATTGTTGCCCACCAGATCTGCTGACCCCATTTCATTCTGCTCATGTTTAGCACATACCCATCTCTTATTTGATCTTAGTGGTGTAATTGTTGTTTGTGTTACTATAACTGTGAGAGGATTGGGGGATCAGTGATATAATCTGCAAAAGAGGAGATATTGTCTATCCTTAAGAATTTTACCCTAGTTCATTGCTGGAAGGTGTTGGAGGGAATTACAAATTGTAAATTTACTTTACTGAGTGGAGATTGAAGGTAACTGTTAAATGGTACAAAGACAAAGGAAATTGATGGAAGACATGTCTCCAGCAGTTGCAGTGACACTTAGTTTAGGTAATTCTATATGTGATAATTCTGGAATTGCAGCCAATGTGGAGTTCACATGGCTAAAGCTAGTAACAGACCCTGGAAGTTTGTCATCAGATTCCATTAAGGCGGTGCCTTTAGAGTCAGTTTCGTGCAGCAATGGAAGTTGCAATGATATACAAAGTCACGCTACTGTGGTGGCCATGTCATCAGAAGAAGATAATGGTGGAGAGGGTTTGTTAAAGATGCTACCAGAGAGTGGAAACACTTCTGTTAGTAATGATGCCATGGTTCAAGAAAGTGAGGGAGGTGAAATCTTATCCTTTAGATATGATACTAATGGAATTGATAGTGAGGAATTTCTTAAGTTAGAGGTGGGGCCTGCGATAAGCTTGCCAGATGTTGTGGAGATAGGAAATGCTGTCGAAGGTAAGATTGTTGCAAAAGCCATTGTCTTGGTAGAATCAGCTCTTGGGAAAATGCCGTCGGGTGAAGTCATTGTTGCAGCAGTTAGCTCGGCTTCTGAGTTATCAGATAAGTCTGATTTAACAACCTCTACAGTACATATCCAGTCAAATGGGGAGAAGAATGTCAGTAAAGCAAGTATCCGGAGTGTTTTTGAGCTGGACTGTATTCCCCTCTGGGGTTCTGTATCAATTTGTGGAAGAAGACCAGAAATGGAGGATGCAATTGCTGCTGTTCCTCGGTTTATTAATATTCCAATTAAAATGCTCATTGGGAATCAATTGTATAATGGAATGAGCCAAAGTTTGACCCACCTAACCAGTCACTTTTTTGGCATTTATGATGGCCATGGGGGGCCTCAGGTAAACGCCTTCTTCATACGTTTATTTTATTCATTCAAGTTAAGGTTATTCTGATACAACAATTTCAAATTTATTATTGCAAGGCATATTGGTAATTAATCAAACTGTAAGCTATACTAAACAACATTGTGGTGCAACACATTCTTCTTTACATTAATCTGTTTGATCTTTTTACACTTGTAAAACGATTTCAGAGTTCTGAATTTGTGAACCTGATTGGAAGGAGTCTCCCCTTGCAGGTTGCTAACTATTGTAGTGAGCGGCTCCATTTGGCTTTGGCTGAAGAGCTTGGAGTCATTAAAGACGATTTGAGTGATGGAACTGTGGGAGAAAGACAGCAGGTGCAGTGGGAGAAAGCATTCACTAATTGTTTTCAGAAGGTTGATGATGAGATTGAAGGAAAAGTTAGCGGAAACATAATCAAAAGTGATGGAAATGCTTCCGAGGCTAGCTTTGAACCTATTGCTCCAGAAACTGTTGGGTCTACAGCTGTCGTTGCTTTAGTTTGTTCATCCCATATTATAGTTGCAAACTGTGGTGATTCAAGAGCAGTTCTATGTCGTGGCAAACAAGCCATAGCATTATCAGTCGACCATAAAGTAAGCATGTGTTTTTGGTTTACTTATTTACATGTTAAGAGAAAAAGCTTTATCTCTTTGCAGTTGCAGAAACCAATCTCTCTTTTATCTTTTTATTTTTTATTCTTTTGTTATTGTTCCCAGCCAAACAGAGAAGATGAATATGCAAGGATTGAGGCAGCTGGTGGCAAGGTGATACAGTGGAATGGACATCGTGTTTTTGGAGTTCTTGCAATGTCGAGGTCCATTGGTACGTCTAGAGACTCAAGACTTACCCTGATACTCTAGACTTTTATTGTGTTTTTTTAAAACAAAAAGAGATATAAAAGAACGTTATGATTTAGAATGAGTGTGTGCTGCCTGTAAGTATGTTGAGTTGCTTGCCTTGTTTGAGCAAATGGATTATGTTCTTTGACTAGCATGTCCCATAATGAATTGAACATCCTCTACTCTTCTTTCTCATCCTACAGGGGATAGGTATCTGAAACCATGGATAATTCCAGAACCAGAAGTAATGAATGTCCCTCGAGCTAGAGATGATGAATGCCTTATTTTGGCTAGTGATGGTCTATGGGATGTCATGACAAACGAGGAAGTTTGTGAAGTGGCTCGACGGCGCATTCTGCTCTGGCACAAAAAGAACGGAGTTACAGCTCTTGCGGAGAGGGGCGCAGGAGTTGATCCAGCAGCTCAGGAAGCGGCTGCCTACCTTTCAACGCTTGCCCTCCAAAAGGGAAGCAGGGACAACATATCTGTGATTGTGGTGGACTTGAAAGCTCAAAGAAAGTTCAAGAGTAAATCCTAAAATGAGGATGTTCACCCGCATTCTTTGGTTTCGGCTGTGTCCTTATTATCCGACTTTTTTTTTTTTGGCCTCATTTTCTGGCATATGCTGATATATATATAGAGAGCACGGTCCATTCGATTTTCTCGTGGGCTCAATTTGTGTACAAGTATAGAAATCTGTATTTACTATCTCTACTACTGTAGAAACTGTAATGCAATGCAGTATGTGCTTTTTCTATTTTTTTGGGTATGTGCAATGTTCTAGCTATTGGTTACACGAAAATGTGCCTTCTTCTGGTGTATTTATGTTTAACAGTTTTGCAGATTTATGCATCTTCACCCTTTTTCTTTTTCTGAATGTTGGTGCCAACTCGTCGAGTCATTTACTCCATAAGTAAAAGAAACGAGGAGCGATTTATTAATGTCATGTTTTTTCAAAGTGCATCAGTTTTTGTTTAAGTGAATTCATCTGTATAGAGATGCGGTCCATAAATTCATCTATGAAAATGTGATAAAAAAGATGGTCATGATAAAATTAAAAAAATGGCCAAACTTTATAACTTAACTGCCACACAAGCACAGTAAAATTAAAAATTGTGCAATAGAAACAAAACAAAAAACTTAAGGCACTTTTGTGAACCTGCATCTAAATCTCACTTTATATGCCTGTAGAAAGAGCCCAAATTCTTCCATATGCTGTCAAACAATCCAAAGAATAAACAAAGCATTCATCTATTGCGCTTCTGCCGCCTCTGCCGCAATTGTGGAAATTGTAGAGGTACAGGCAGGGTAGCAAACATTACGTTTCTTTTGCGTACGAGCTTGCAACCAAGGTTCTCATAATGCTTTCTCAAAGCTATTGCGCTCATTCTCAGATCCTTTGCTACATCTGTTAAATCTGTCTCGAATTCATCCACGAAAAGAGTAAGCACCAAGACATAACTAATGAGGAGATTAGTTTTCTCATTTGATAGGCTCTTTGACTCCATAGGAAACATAGTCGAAAACTTATTGAATAGAAGGTTTGGGATCCTGTGGGTCCTGGACGAGGAAATACCATCCATGGAATGCTGATCTTTGAACTTTATAAGATGCGTAATGTATGAGAATATGCAAGAAAGCTTAAACTTCTCCTCATCAACCTACAAAGATGGACAACATAAGAATGTCGATTATTCTGTTTTCTTCACCATGAAATTGAATAGATAAAAGGGGGAGCAAAGCATACTAGATTGAACTAGAAGGTTCCACAAATGCAGTTGTTAGATAACGACATGTACAGGAAAACATCAAAGGATGAAATACAAAAACTAAAGTCTGCAGTATTAACCCTTAGCCACAACATTAAAGCAGCCCAAGAAACACAGCATATGTCTGTGTTAGTGTTTATAATGCAGAAAAGTAGTACCAGCCATTTTGGAGTTAAAAGGAAGAAACTCTAAAGTTGAAAATTAACAGTTTCCATTTTATCCTTTCCTTTTTGTTTTCCCTGAAAACTGCAATCAACTGGAAAAGGTTGGCTTTTTAATTCAGCATGCCCTTATAGAAACAGAAAAGAGGATCGGCCTTATATGCATATATGCACAACCACATCAAAGTATTTAGAAGTATTCTATAGTAGTTTAATGGCCATCATAAGAGATTTCCACTAATATGTTTCAGACAAAAGAAGGCATTTCTGCATTCTTACCTCAATATCCTGCAATTTATGGATTCTGTGGCAAACAAATCTTGGGAAAGCATCCCATGAAACTTCTGCTCCACCTTGAAAATGCTCATAAATATCTCCAAGTAGATCCCACTCTCCTGTGAGGATGATCTTGTCCAGTGGATATGCTTCCTGGGGAGTGGTGGCAGATTCATTAAATGGTGGGATATGGCGAGAGATTTGGCTTTCAGTACTTTCTAGAGCCTCCTTGTTTGGCACAATGAGTTTGATTTTGGCATCCAAATCCTTTTGAGATTCAGGACCATCTTCTTGCTTCAAGGAGCGCAGTTTTTTACTCTGCATTGTCATAGAAAATTCAGATTAACACGCTAATGCTTCTCAAAAATCTCAATTGCGTTCAGCTTGATATAGTATTGTACGGAAATTCCCATATAGTTTCAGTTGCAAATTGCAAGTATCTTTAACCACATAGCTCTAGCTGTCCTTTAATAAAATTTATGCATCAAGAGTTTCAATTTTTTATAAAAGGAATGGATTATTGAGAAAGGTCCCCTCACCAACATTATAGCAACAAAATGGTATCTAGTCATTATGTGGACTTCTTTTTCAATTTTCTTCAACCCTTGATATTTTTGTGTTTAAAACTCAATACTGGCATATAACATTACAAAGAAGCTATAGAGAAAGCAACCAGTGATGTGGGGATTTAGTACAAAAAGAAAGTGCTCGGACATATGCAGCAAAAGCCATACTTATTCTAAAATTTTCATATGTTCCTCAAAACAAGCAGATTGGTCGCTGACTCACTGTATAATGCATTCATTTTTCCAAAAGAAAATTTTGAAGAATAAATTTGAAATGAATAACACTATTTGCTGAACTATTAGAATCAACAAATGAATTCAAAGTTACATGTGCTACTAGTCACTGCTTCAAGGACACGTAATATTCCACTGTATTCTTAATAAATTCAATAACCTCTTTCCCCTTAACATGGCTAAATTTATATAAATTACAAACAGAGACACTCAAACAAGGTGGCTGTGATTGTGGAAAATGCTTGTGAACCTTACTTTTAAAAAAGAAAAAAAAGAAAAAAAGTAGGTTCTTACCTCCCTAATTGCCTTCTTCGTTCCATAGCGACTCTGGAGCTCCATTTGCTTCTCGGCCTTCTCTTCTCCAGTAAGTTGTTCCTTCACTGAACTTTCAGGCTCCTTAGCAGAGTAGTTACAGCCTCTAACCATTGGTTGTAATCTAAATATCTGAAAATTCACGTCCCAAGTAAGCTTATACGCATTCCTTGCAAAGCAGAAGCAATGATGAATACACACACTCACCTTAAATTCCTTGTACCAAAGTGTACTGTGAGATAACACATACATTCATATAAGCATATAGAATAAGGATGTACTTGGTGTACATAACATTTTTAGAAGGCTCCTAACTTAGTTCTCCAAGTCTAAATCCAAATCACAATGACAACAAAAGCAACACCACTGAAGCAAAAGTTCACAAGTCACTAAAATATTATAGTTTCTGTTATCAGCTATGAAACCCCAAACAAAACAAAAAATGTAAACTTTACATGTGCTTTATACTCACTGCATCACTTTAACGACTTCTAAACCAACCCAACAAAAACTTATAGTCCCAACTTACCTTGTTAGAAGCAACGGGCAAAATCTTCAAAGTCTGGGTGGCCTTATCAAGAACACCAAGTGCAAAATTGCAGCTCTGCCCAGTCGTGGCCTCACCAGTATAGTTAGTGCCAACAAAATCAACATTGGTCCCATTTGGGGTCACCACAATCTGAAGTCTTCTAGGTTTTTTGCCGTCCCTAAACAACCCAACATCGGTTGAATTGGAGTATGGGCTCTTGGTGGGGTCGAAGCTACATGGGAAATAGCCGACCAAAGGAGGGGTTTTCTCTGGGATGTCTGGGACGACTTGGATTGTGGCTTGAACTGTTGGGATTTTCTTCTTCTTCTTCTTCTTGTGCTTGTGGGTTTGGGTTTGTGGCGTTGATGGGTTTTGGGTCATTTGGGACTTGGTGTCTTCTGCGTCTGATTCCATCGGTACAAGAAAAAAGGAAAGAGAAAAAGCTGTGAGCTTTGGAGGTTCACTGATGGTGGTGGTGGCGGTGGCGGTGGCGGTGGCGGTGGGTTGTTTCTTGCACAGTTAAGGGACTCTTGTGAGAGATTTGAGGAGAGGTTGGGGGGCTGCTTGGGTTTATAAGTGAGGGTTTTGGTAGTAGACCAAAAAAAAAAAGTGAGGGTTTTGGTAGGCTCTTTCTTTGTTTTTATTTTCGGGTTTACTTTTTCAACTTTACAAAATAGAATGATACCAATTAGGAAACTTAATTTTAATCTCCGACCAACCAAGGGTTAATCGTTTTATTAGTCTCTGAATTTAGATTCGATTTGCATTTGAGTTTCTCGATTTCCAAAATCGTTCCCGTGGTCCTTCAACTTCAGTTTCGTTAGGACAAATGGTCATGTTGTCAATTTTTTTAACTTTTTTTATTAAATACAGGGTCAAAATGGTATTTTTGTATCAAAATTGATTAAAATATGAATAAAAAATTAAAACTAAACTCCCTCCCCTTCTATCTCGATTTCTACTCCCCCAAACTTTTTTATTTGATTTTCTTTTATTGTTATTTTAAAGATATGATTTTTTTTATTCAATTATTTGATTTTAATATAAAAATACCATTTTACCCCTACATTTAATAGAAAAGGTTAACAAAATTGACGGCAGAACCATTTGTCCTAACGAAAGTGAAGTTAAAGAACCATGGGAACGATTTTGGAAATTGAGGGACTCAAATGCAAATCGAGTCTAAATTCAGGGACTAATAAAATGATTAACCCGACCAACCAACTATTCTTCTCGCATATAATTCTTTGCAGTAGCGGATTTATAAGTTTTTCTTTAAAGGGTCAACATATAAAATATTGAAAAAAAACTTTAGCCAAAAGAATTTCATAAAAATAAAATAATAATATTATAATTCATAATTAATAAAAAAATCAACATTACTTTGAAATTTGAGAGAGACATCAAAATTCCAAAATAAATTGGGAAAGTTACTACCGTTGTCACCGGTGGTTGGTGTGTGGTGGTTTTGGTGTGGAGGGTTAGGCTTGGGAGGAGTTTGTAAGAATAGGTTTATTTGGGTGATTATATTTGAAACAAATTTGGGGAGGGGGTATTGGGCAGCTTAATATCTGCTAACCCTCTTTGTTTTAGTATTATTTTACTTAATTCACATGGCCAACAATTTATGAAGTTAAAATAATAATAATAATAATAAACTGACCTGGTCCAAAACGACCACGTTTTGCCCAGGTCATTAAAAAGAAAACCAAACATAAGCTGCACGCCTAGGAAAGAAAGGCATGCGTTGCTCCTGCTGCTTCTTTGGAGCAAAACATCAAACAGTTTGTGGGGGGTCAAATTTTTCTGCCCAAGCGTTGGTTTCTGGCCTGCGGGGTCAATTGACCACCCTTGCCCCACTATATATCTGCCACTGTTCGCATATAAGTCGAACTTGAGACAGTCTTCAATAAAATGAAGACAATTATCAATAAATCAAATGTGAAATTAATGTGATTGTATTTTTTGATACAAACGATACTTGAACAAGGAAATGGAACGCATACATGAACTTAACTAAAAGTTGGTTAGAGAGGTGCACTTAACTAAGATCTGGTCCAATAAAGAAAATCATTTGATTCAATTGGATCTGATAATTTGATAGATTATTAACAAATAAGTTCATATTTGATTTAGGGATTTATTAAGTAAATCTGATCCAACAACCCGATTCAAATTAAGTTAATCCACCCGAAAACCAAGTTCAAATTCCTTTTTTCTTGAAGATTTTTAATATCCTTGCATGGACATGGTCCTTGTAGGAAGCTACTCGAGAGAGGAGTCATTCTATAGTGAGGGTCTTCAGATGAGGCACAATCTCATAACCGTTAGATCAAACTAATTAATTTGATCCAACTGTTAAAGGATAGGAACTCATTTAAGGCCTTAGATAAGGCCCTCATTATATAATTCTTACCCGACAGAGACTTGCAATCGAGTTCTAGTGGCTGGCCCAAAGGAAGTTATTGTGTAGATTTTAACTAGGAACCTTACAAATAAATTAGGAATTCTTGTGCACATTCTAGATGAAGAAATAACGTCAACTTGTAAAATAATGTGAACATGTTCATCTTATATATAAAATTTCAATGGCTATAAATTCAAAACCATAAACGGAAAGTTTCAAAGCAAACTATTTAACTACATTAGTTTTTTTTCGTAGGCAAATACGTATATGAGATGTACATATTGGCAGTGCTCTTTGCCCAATCTCACCTAAGAAATAGGGAAATTATAGATGTATGTGTATATTTCCTATTCTTCAACTATACTATGTCTGGATCTTGTATTTAGATGAGGAATAAGCCATTTGGAACCCTGAATATAGCCAAGGCTGAGGAAAGATTTGGCTTCTGCATCACTTAGCTTTTTGGTGTAGCGTGCTTGCCCGCTTATGTTTGACCCTGGACCCGAATTCTGAAACTCTCCATAGAACATATTGCTACAAAAATTACCACATATATATGTAAATAATTAAAAAAAAAGGATCCAAGAATAAGAAAACATTTTAGAAAAATAATGAAAATTTGTAACTTACTTGGAACGTTCAGGGTGCCCAAAGTCGTTCCATCGTTCAGGATGGACAACGTTGGCCATGTCGGTGTAGGCAAACACCACGCTGGGGCTACTCCCCCAAGCCCTGCCCAAGTATGTACTCCTCACATATGTAGTGCCAGTTATTTTGCAATGCACAAATGAAAATCCATTATCCTCTGAAGCATCCCTTTGTTGTGCCGTTACCACTGTAATATTCCGCTCTAAGACATGTATCTCAGTGTTCTGCACCAAAATATATCATATCATTTAGTGTCACAATTTGAGCTAATAAATGAAAATTTAATTAGAACTATATATTTTTTAAAATAAACACTACAATGCATAAAGTTAACATAAGCAAGCATCTGACCTCAGAGAAATTATTGTATGGTACTATGAGGCATTATTATTACTATACATACCAAGTAGAGAGATTTTCCTTTTCCGAAGATGAAATCTACGGTGCCTTGAATGTAGCAGTCCTTGAAGAAATGCAAGCCCTTGTAATCATAAAGAGTGTCCTGAAATCCAATAAACTTGCAATTGTAGAAGGCTGCCTTATCCCCGGAGATCTGCAATGCAACTGCTTGCGCACCAGACCTTATCCCATCTGGCTCCGGCGCCGAATTCTGCAAAATTATATTAAAGCACTCCATGAGACCATGATACATACATTACCATCATTAAAATAATATAACATTTCTCTAACTAAACCAAATTAAATAATTCATAATTACGTACCGTAACAATAATGTTAGCAGCCCTAAAATAGTCAGATTCCACAGTCAATGTACCACTGTAGACAGTCCCATACTTCTGAGCCGTGCCATCAAACATCAAAGTTGGCATATTTTTTGGCGATCCATACAACGTCACAAATGGTTTATTTTGTGGGATTTTGATTTTCTCGTTGTACACTCCACCTCCAATGTACACAACCACACGCTTGGTGTTCCTCTCAGGGATGCTATTAATGGCGTCCGTGAGGGTTTTGAAGTTTCCACTTCCATCTTTCATGACCTTGATAAGTTTTGGGCGATCCTCAGCCGTCACAAGGGCGGCGTCAAGCGCGCCCTTGCATTCAGCTAACGGCTTGACGTTGTTATCGAACCAACTGCCGACTTGGGAACCATCAGCAGGTATCGGTGTCGAATCGTCAGCGACGGCGGTGGTACTAGCAGCGAGGAGAATTGTTATAATCATAAACCCAGCTGCGGGCATGACCATGCATGTCGTTCTTCCAGCCATCTTGTTATTGCGATAAGCTGCCTCAAGTTTCAATAATGATACACAATTCTAATTAGGCTAGGCCTAGTATATATATTGGTTCCATGAATTGGAAATCCTAATGCAACCAGGAAGTATAAGGAAATCTAGTTAACAAAAGGAAAAACAACCCCAATCCAAATGGGAAATAAATTAAAGCACACAATTACCAAAACGTGCATGCATGTTTGTTTGGGTGCTTATGAGCTAGAGGGTTAGATGTTTTTTATACATCGTGGTAAAATAAAGCATATAATGTAATTTTTTTTTCTGTTTTTCTACATGTTATAGTCAAGACAATTTTTTTATATTTAATAAATACAATTAAAAGGGTAAGTTCATATATACTTTAAGAAAAATTAGGTTGAAGTCACATAATATAAAGGACTAATTTTGGTTCTGGGTTTTGAATTTTATTTTGGAAAAGTTCAATCAAGAGGCCCAAATTTATTGGGCCTGTTTAAATTAATAAGGGAAAAGACAGTTTTATCCTTTTTGTTTAAAAGGGTGGCCAAAGTTTGTACCTCTTGGACCACCGCCGGCCAGCACCCGCCCTCAACAACCACCGCCTCCGCCAACCACGGCCGGTCACCATCGCCGCCCTTATTGGTGGCAGCCATCTGGCACATTGCTAAATCACCTTCAATAATTTAAAAAAAAAAAAAAGAGATATGCCATTTGAGGATTCGAACCATGTCATTCACTTTGGACAAAGAGGAATATAACCAACCAAGTTCTTGCTTATCATGATAATTTATTCTTTATATACTATATTGTTCAACATCAATTTACACTCCCTTTTGATTTTCTCACTCCCTTTTTGTCCATGTACACTCCGTTTTAATGGTAATTATAAAAGTATTAAAAAATAAAAGGGTGTAAGTGGACAAACGAGGAGTGAGAAAATCAGCTCATTATTATTATTTTTAATGTATAATAAAGCCAATGAAGCGGGATAGATTCTGCTAAGTAATGTTCCATTATATTTTTTTTTCACTTTCTTCAACATAAAATATTAGAGAAAAGGGGATTCTAATACATAACTTTTAGGTGTAAGAATAAATATTCTTAACAACTTGAGCTACCAGCTTAATTCCTTGTAACTTAACGAGCACCAAATTTCTTCTTACAAGGGAAAACACACATACATAAATCCCCCTTGCAATACCCTTGAGCTGTTGTTCCAACACTTTTGGCATATTTTTCCAAGCACAAGTCACCGCAATTGGGCATATTCTCTACCCTCCCGCAAGCATGACCTGTATAGTCCGCCACAGCCTCATCTCCTGCAGTACTCATTCAACACATTTTATGGTTTAAGTCATATCTTAAAGCAACAAAAACAGTATTATACAATGTAAAGGTTCCTAAGAAATATGTCATTTGAGAAAATTCTATGAAAAAAGAGATTAATTCTTGTACACATTTTATTCTTTGACAATATTATGCCTCTTTAGCAGCAACAAGTTTGTTTAATATGAACCTCGACCACACATTTTGTCTAGAATACATAGTTGAATGGTTATCTAAGAAGTTGAAATTTAATTTAATTTAGGAAGTAGCAAAGTTTTGAATTATAAAAGGTTCTAATTACTCTTTCATATCAATCCAATGTATATATAAAAAGTTAATATAGATTTGTTAAGTTAATGAAGGAAATATCAGGTTAAAAGTGGAAATCCATATCCTGTTAATTACACCTTCGATCTTTCTTTCTATATTTTTTCCGTTATGAGGTACGACATGCCGTTTAATGGCGTATCTTTCGTTGCAGCAGATTCTTGCTTGGTTCGCGCACACACACAATCATTTTATTTTCCATTTTTCTCGTTTCTTTATATTTAAAACTGTAAAACGTAAAGAAACAGAGCCTGTCTCTGTCCTCCCCTTTGTACTCTCGAGTTGATTATCAATGGAGATAAAAATGTTCGTACTTGATTAGAGAGAAAGGCACTTCGTACCAAAAAGCCATTTCTTCATTCCTCGTCATCAGCAGCTGCTTTTGCAATCATCAAAAGCACTCCTTCACAGAAAGCCGCTTCTGCTAATTTCAGCTCTCCGTTTGACTGTTTCTTCAGAGGTAAAAGTTTCCTCTTTTGCTCTTTTCAAAATCCGTCTTTCTCTTTCATTCTTCGGCTCTTTTTTTTTTTTTTACTGGGAAAGAATTGGAAATTCCGAGTTGGGTTGATTTCTATCACTGTATGTTTGACTTGTTTCAATTTTTAGAGTGATCTTTCCACATGAATTCTTTGTTTTGATTATGGGAAATCCTTTGCTCAAACATGGGTTTTCTTATTTTTTGTAATTCTTGAATGCTTTTCGTCTTAATTTTCCTAGAACACTTCACTGAAGTTGTTTGCTGTTATTTTGGTTATCGTATGTTGGGATTTGCAATGTAATGTAATTCAAAGTTTGCTATCTGAAAAAATAGAGGAACGGTTTTGTGGATTTGTAACCAGAAATGCTGTTTCGACCCCAAAGAATAAAATAGAAAAACTGTTTGTGTTTGCTTGCTAGTAGTTTCCTCCCATGGAGTGCGTACGCCTTTCTATATACAAAAGAACTGTTTTCGCCTTCCTTTTTGGGTGTTGCTCAAACCCACTTGATTGAGGTTTTCTTGTCTTCTACTTCAAGAAAATTAAAAGAAGAAGAAAGAACAAATCTTTCATGAGGTTTGCTAGTTGCCATCTTAAATCACCACTCCTCTGGGACTTCTGGAGAAGGCACAATAGAATAAAACTAGCTTGTGAATTCTTTTTGGCATGTGGCATTTAGACTCAACTAAAAGGAGAAGAGTTAGCATCGCAATTGATTCTGCAGATCATTAGTGATATTTGCTGCATATGACTGAACAAGGAGATTTCTTATGCAAATATGATCTCTTGATTCTTTTATTTTGAAGAGTAATCTATTTGTAACCCATCAACATGTTAAGGTTCTGTTTATCCTGTTATTCTTTTACATGGTGGAAATGCAATTAACAATAAGAATCTAGAGTTACAATCTTAGGCCTTTATCATTGTTGTTGAAGTATGATGGGGATCATCTTAGAGTGGAAATTTGATACGGAATTATAAATTCTTCGTAAGTCAAAGATGGTGATGAATTTAATCTACCAGTGGAATATGGCTAGGCCTTGAGACGAAATGATGCAGAATTTATGCAGGATGATCACTTCCCTTCTGCCATTGCGATCTCTTTAGTTAGCTAGCCAGAGTGATTGTTCTATATTCTTTCCTTGTAGGATGCACTACCAATAATTTGGGAAGGCCCTTTATACATGATTTTCATTTGGAGGGCCTTTCCCTTCCTTTTGAATCTTATCCTTGTATAGTTTTTTCAAGTTTTAGTATGAACTTGAATGGGTAACAGTTCTGAGTAAATGCTGCTTGAATTGTGATAGATGTCTACGATTTCTATATAAAAAATTGTGTCCATCCTTGAGTAGTTAAGATTATCTCGTAATGAGATATTTTTATCATGAGGTGCAGATCATTAACCTAAATGCAACCATATTGCGGTATGACTAATAAGTCTTTCAAGTCTGGACCTGTTAATAACTGCCTTCTCTTTGCAGGAATATCAATTTGCACAATATAATGACCTATTTGCTTTTGTCTCCCTTTACTTTTTATGTTTCTTTTGAGTGTCTATGCTGTTTGCATCTTTTTATCTCAACCAATACTGTCACATTGTTACCTAAATGCAGCAGTTAAACTGTATTGGATTGGTTCCTTCACACATCTTCCTTTGTCGTACTTCAACCTATCTTCACTTATTTAACAGCATATACTTTTCATATAACAATTTATTTTCTTTTCAGAAAAAATACTACAGTTACTTTCAAGGTGGAGAGCAGAACTGAGGGTGATTGTGTTTGGGAAAGATGGATCAGAGTATGCAACTCCTTCTGCATGCTAGTGCAATTTATTTTTCCATATAAAATGGGACCCAGCACAAATGTTAATGTGGTGAATTGGATGAAGTTGTCATGCTATGTGATAAACGGTTTTGTTCACACACGCACCTGCATGCATTATTGTTACTATTATTTTCATGTTTTTATTAAAAAAATTAGTATCTGGCTCACTTTTGTTTGTCATGCTCATGTGGGATGCTGCTGGCAGCTTAATGTTAATTTTTTAGATTTGAAATCAATTGGTAAAGATTAAATTTTATATTAAATCAATGACCTGACGCATGTCTATATATTGAGACCTCCATACCAGTTGTTTAGTCCTCTGGAGCTGAGAAGTCTACATTTACAGTGTCAAATGTCAGACCATTGAGTGAAAATGATTTTTAGAGGACTATAGGAGCCCTTAACACCTTGGGCAGGTTTCAAATGTGTTCTGAAAATGTAGAAGTCATTTTCCTGTTTTTCTCATTATAATTTATCATTGGTGACTAAGCTTATACAAAAGCTATGTGCTTAATGTAATAATTGATTGTTTCTGTTAAAGTTTATGGCAAGATGTTATGGGATTACCTTCTGAAAGTGATTTGGTGGATGTAGTGAACCATAGAAATGGCAACTATGCTCCTATCAGGGATCAAGAGGACCCGGTATTGGGAATATTTGACAAACCGCTTCCTTGCTTTGGTTGTGGAATTGGATGGTTTTCGTGAGTATTCCTGCCTTCTCTCTCTCGCTCTCCCCCCGCCCCATCTTTTCTCACTAATGGATGTGCCTTCTTTTTTCAGTCTTTTGCTTGGATTTGTATTTCCAGTGATGTGGTACTATGCTGCATTTCTTTACTTTGGGAAGTATTATCATAGAGACCCAAGGGAGCGAACTGGGCTCCAAGCTTCAGCAATAGCTGTAAGTTTTATGCTTCTGTTTGCACGCCTTTTTCTTCTCACTACACCACCAGATATGGTAATACTCATTTTACCCTTATTTATCCAGTTATCTTTTTCTCAAAGAAGAAGTTTAATTTTTCCTATTCCCCTCCTACCCCCGCTCGCTACCCCTCTCTGATCCTTTTTTTGTTCTTTTCTTAGTTCTTTTATAAAGTTTAAAATACATGAGATTGAAATGGGAAAGTTCTGAACTTTTTTTAGGGAGGGATTGTAATGAATAAAAAGGATGCAACAAATAGAAGCACCCATAGTTGAAATATTGTTCTGCATTGTTATTTGGGGCCTTTATCATCTTTCACTAATCATAAATGTTGTGACTGTTGCAGGCTTTGATTTGTACAACTGCTGTGTTCATAGTGGTAGCTGTCTTTGTTATCAAATCCTTGCTCCCATAACCGATGTCAGCGTCGTACAAAATTCTCTATGATGATGTTTAGCTCAATCGTCCTTCCTGTAATCGTATCAGGCGCAAGCCAGGAAACTGTTGGCATCATGGAATGTCCAGCTACTGATACCTGAAGCAGTTTGGGCTTCTCTGTAATAGTGTGCAAGGCAAAAACCGTGTATATACGCTACTGCTTAGCTCCCATATAGTGGGAATTCTATGTACAGAAAATATTGTAGATAGGTACCACATTTACAAGTACACATGATATTATCATCTCACACATGCACTCATCTGCAAATCAACTCAACTGCTAGAGGCTGCAAATCAGGTTTGGTCCATGTTTAAGAATTTGCTACTTAGAAACACATTCCATTGGAGGGGAGAAGAAGGTATGATGAGTTTTCGCTTCAAACTTTGTATTCATTGAGAGGGAGTGGTCTGCCTCTTGGTATACACTATTAATATGCCATCCTTCTGCGCCTTGGCATGTTCTTAGATTGCAAATTAGTATAAGATTCTGCTTTGCAAATGATGCTTTTGTCCGTCGGTCGGGTTGATCCAAATGGTAACGAATGCTAGGGAAATCGGTTAGGTCAAGAGTTCGATCCCTTCTAATGATCCAAAACTGATGCTTTTGTCTTGCTATTGCCACTTCCAAACTCATACAAAAAAAAAAAAAACTAATTTGTCACAAGCAAGTGATAGGAACTTCTTTGGGAAGTCACAATTAAGAAACCTAATTTGTCATTATACCCAACGCATTTTCCTTCACCACCAACTTCACTTATTCCCATTGATACATTAAATATGTTTGTTGGTCGCTCTAAACACCCTTTTTTCTTTTTCGGATAAAGGCAGCAGGAGGACCAATTTCACCATAAATTTCTAAACCAATCAACTAGTTTCATATCACTTTATGTACCAAAAAGTTGTATAAAAAATTAAGTTAAAAACGTTTAGAATTTATTTTCATGCAAAATCCAAACTCCGCTGGTGTCAGTTTTTCAGCCATGGAACTTTTCTCTGTGTGCTGTTTTACCAATCCTTTATTGCTCAAATTATTTACCTTTTAGCCTGATTTCTCACGTGAGCTTGGGATCCCATCCCACCTCTGGCAATCAAACCTGTTATACTGACACGAGAAGCTTTCGTCTGGACGGACCCCCTAAACGGTGTCGTGTATTGAGTGCCTTCCCTACCTTAGTCAAACCAAGGTCCTTTTTTTCAAGAATTTTGCAACGGTTCACACACACAATGAATCAAACGTCAAGCATTTCACCGGGTGCGTGAGCGACTGACCATAACATTAATCTACGTTCGTTACTATAATCTTTTAACTTTGGATTTTAGTAAAGACTGAAAAAAGAAGAGAAAATAACGAGGAAAACTATAAAATAAAAATAAAAAAAAAATTAAAGAGAAAAACAAAGATATTATGAAATAAGACCTTTGTTTATTTATTTATTTTCTCTTCTCCATACATCCCCTCCTATCCTGATTCCTGGCAGTGTCGTAAAGCACAAGTTCACACCGTGCAAGCTGTATTTCTTGCGAAGACTGGGTTGCGGTGGGACACCTGCCCACAAGACTAAATTATTCAAAAACAATTTACCAAAAACAATTACAATTATAAAAATTATAAATAAAAAAACTAATTACCAAAAACCATTAGACTAGAAAAATAAAACTAATTGCCAAAAACCAACAAATTGAAAAAGACAAAAAAAATCCAAATTGCATGTAAAGCTAAAAAGGAAATCGGCGATATAGGTGACTTGCTTGTTCATCTTTTGTGGCACTAAACCATTTTGGAGACCAAAAAGGTCAATTTTCTTGCACCCAAAGCATGGGTACCGTAGAGTAGCTATATCCAATATTAAATGGAAATATTTTTGCTCACCATTTTAATATAAGGTATATCCTTACTATCCTTCTCAATACTCAATACTCGTTCATAGGCCTAACCATAATTAACTTTTTACTTTGTATTTGTGGAATCATAGTTATACTCATGAACACGAGTCAAATTTGAGAAGGGTGTTGTTGATCATACACCTTAGATTAAAAGGGTGAGCAAAGATGCTCTCAAATTTAATTAGAGCTTAAAATACCCCAAAAAAACACAACAAAATAGATGAGCCTCAACAACTAGTCACTTTCTATCTATAAGCTAATACAACGTTTATTTTTTTTAAATTAAGGGTTTAATTAAAATATAATTTTATATGTGAATACGATTGTCATACGCGGAAACGTATGAGTGTTTGACCATGACACCAATTTGGGGGGGGAAAAAAAAAAAAAAAAAAAGGGCTAAAAAAGCACATGGTTTACTATCAAGAAAATCAATTATCTAACAATTCATTTAGCTGTCATTCTAGCAATGACAGGCAACACACAAACAAATATGCTTTGCTTGCTTTGGCTTCTGCCTTTACACAAGCAAAAGCCAAAACCAAAACCAAACCCAAAAGCCACAACAACAAAAGCAAAGTGTGTGCAAAAAGAAGTTCACTCATTTCTCTCCAACTTCAGCCTTTCATTTCTCTCTCTCAACTCAAAACACCAAAAGTTGAAAACCAAACCAAACAGAACCCAAAAACAATGGAAGAAGAGGAAGACATGCTTCCACCATTCTGGCTCCAACCCTCCGATTCTTTCCGGCAAGCCAACCGCCGCCTCCGCCGCTCCTCCTCCTCTGTTTTCTTCAGCTCCGGCGCCTTTGTCCTGGCCTTGCTGGCCATAGCTCTTGTATTTGTTTTCTTTATAATCCCATCAGTTTTGTCTTTCACTTCACAAATTTTTAGACCCCATTTGGTCAAAAAAAGCTGGGACTCTCTCAATTTGGTCCTCGTTCTCTTTGCAATTGTCTGTGGGTTTCTCAGCAGAAATACCAACAATGACGGCAACATCAGCAGCCCCAGTTCTTATGATCAAGTTCATAATCAAACTGTTTTCAATTCTTCTTCACCACAAGCTCCCAAGTCAAATCCATCAACCCCGCGTCAGTGGTTCGACCAGTATTCAGATCGTACGGTCTACAATCACAGCAGTAGCAGCACCAGTGCCGCCATGAACAGAGGAGTGAGGACCAGCAGTTCGTACCCGGATCTGCGGCAACAGGAAGCTTCGTGGGTCGCCAGAGAAGATCGGTGGCGGTTTTACGACGATACCCATGTAGTCAATTATCGGGTTTCGGGTTCGGATCCGCTCCATCATCGTCGTCATCGGTCATGGCATGAAGAATCCGTACAACTACCAGTAGAAGAAGAAGCAGAGCAAGTCCAAACCAAGACTATACAAGTTGACACTTTTGCAATCCGTACGGAACAAGTTAATTCACCACACACACAAATTCCAACTGCTCAATCTGATCCGCCACTGCAGCCGTCGCCGTCGCCGCCGCGGAGGTCACCATCTCCGTCACAGCCACCGCCGCCAACGACGCGCAAGTCCAGGAGAACATACCAAGCTATTGGAGAGAAAGAAAACTCGGGTTCTACTCAAAGCCTTGAGAGAAATGACAATTTGGAAGCTAAGAAAAATCTCCCACTGCCACCTGCCCGGTCACCGCCCTCTCCGCCATCACCGCCGCCGCGGATATCGAAATCGGCTGGGAAAGATGTGAAGAAGAGAGGGGTGGCTACTACAAAAGAATTCCTGATCACGTCATTGAGAAGGAAGAAGAAGAAGCAAAGACAAAAGAGTGTTGAAAACTTCGAGAGTCTCCTCGCGTCTGCTTCTTCAGCTCCTTACTCTTTACTTCCGCCGCCGTCACCGCCACCTCCGCCGCCGCCCCTGCCGCCGCCACCGTCGGTGTTTCACAACCTGTTTTCTTCAAAGAAATCCAACAAACCCAAGAAAACAATGCAGTCAATTCCACAACCGCCGCCGCCGCCTCCAGTAGCGGCAAAAGCTTCGACAGCGCACTTGTTGAAAACCAAGGCCCAAATGAGGGCCATGATGGCGACCCAAAAGCCGCCATTGCCGGTTAAGGTGAGCACCTTCATCAACGAAGATGATGAGAATGCTAACAGTGGCGGTGAGTCGCCATTGGTTCGGATACCTCCACCGCCGCCATTGCCGCCGTTTAGAATGCCAGAGATGAAATTTGTGGTGCACGGAGACTTTGTGAGGATCAAAAGCAACAACAGCTCACGCAGTGGCTCCCCTGATTTGGACGATGGGGATGATCCGGATTCAGCAGTTTCATCACCAACCATGGAAACTAAGAGGACGCCAATGGAGAGTGGAGAGTCGCCAAAAGCCATGTTCTGCCCCAGCCCAGATGTTAACACCAAAGCTGATACTTTCATTGCAAGGTTCAGAGCTGGATTGAGGTTAGAGAAGATGAACTCTGTGAGGGGGAGGTCCAATCTTGGCCCAGATACAAGAGAAGGAGAAGAAGGCCCAAGTTACTAAATATGTTATTTTTTCCTAATTAATTTTTATTTATTGATTTATTTTAATTTTTATATGGGTATGGATATTGAGGTTGAGGAAGGTAAATAGATAATTTGTGGATTTGAGTTGTTTTCTGACATATAAATTGGAGAATAGAGAGGTACATTTACATAGGAATTTTTAATGTATGTAATGTTTGGTGGTTAGTACAATTCTTTTATTTTATTTGGTTTTCTAAAATTCTTATGCCTCTAATGAGGGTCTGTGTTGAATGTTGGAATTAGGGATTTCATGATTTTCATAATTTGTATGGGAATGGAATTCAAGATTTGGTACCAATTTTTATTTATTTATTTGGATTAATTGGTTGTTTAACATACAATTTTGTGTGGTTTTGTCATGTACGTGCATGGATGTAATGGATCTCTGTTGGCATTTGACAGATATAAATATTGATCCTTATGTGTGGAGGCGATTTTCCCGTTTGATCATTGGAATAAGTGTGCAAATGTAACGATGCATGTTTGGAATCCTTCTGGAATGGCTAAAAATGCCTTTTGACAATCAAAAGCGTTTTTGACAATCAAAAGCGTTTTTGACAATGTTTGACAAAAAAATTTAGAAATGTTTTTAAATCTTAGAAGTTCTTTTTCCAAGAAGTATTTCAATTTTTTTTATTAAAATTTCAACATCTTTATAACAAAAACATTTTTTCTAAAAGGATTACTATACTATATACTATCTAGAGTGAACCTTCCTTCCAGAAGTGTAAAAATATAAAATATAAAATAATTGTTGGTCTACATCATTGGCAATAGACAGCTGGATGACAAAACTGAATTATGGTCAATTGCTTTTAGAACGAGGACTAAACGCTCCCTTAATTCATGGCATATAACTTGACCTAACTCATTAAAGATATTGCACCGCAGACAGTGTGTTTCAAGAGGTGACTTGGCTTTTGGGCATAAAATTATTTAAGAAAATTTTTATTAAAAAAAATAATAAGCATATGCTAAATGCTAATGATGTATTTGATTACGATGTAACAAGGCGGCTTATAATTAATTCTTATTAGACACATTTTTCTCTGGAACATTGGTCAACTAGTGCATGCAATTAGAGCTGTCAATGGATCGGATTTTGATCCGAATCTGTTCAAGTTGCAAATAAATGTGGGATAGAAGTAGTAAGCTAGAAGTGAAAGAAACTCGTTAAAAAGCAATTAAGAAAATCTCTGATTTGTTTGTGTTTGACCAACAAATTAATTGCTTTATACCAAGTTGGCATCTTTAGAGGCAAGCAAACTCTCAAGCCTCAAGCAGTACAGATTCTATTAATTGACATATTTTAAGTTTCAACTTATACAAGTGACAGGCAATCATTTCTTGCCTGCTAATTCTTTGACTAGCTCTTGCACAGATTGTTGTTGCCTTATGTGTTCAACCCACCTCGCCTTGATTCGGACCTGTGCAATGCTTTGCTTCAAAGTCATAGAAATCGCAGGATGCACACGGCCCGCGAAAAATTCTTCCACCTCATCAGCCTTTTCATTGCTACATAACTGCCAGTGAAGACTTTATCAGTAATGCAAAATGGATGACGGAGGCAGAAAATGTACCTTGTTTTACAAGGTCCAGTCCAGTTGCCTAACAGTGCCAGGACAGAAATACATTTGCTTACCGGTGTCACAATGTCTCGTACAAAATGGGTGAGTAGCATTCCAGCACCATATTTGCTCAAGATCAGGTCCCAGTTCTCCTGCGTTCATAACCAAAAATTTGAACTCTTCAAATTGTAAACTTCAGAAGTAGGAGGGGCTTCCTAATTCCAATTCACAATGCCAGTTATTTCCCAATATGTTATTGACTGATGTGATATTCTTCTAAAACATGTTTCCACTTTCCAAGAATGAATGAAATCCATACCTTCAACCATATCCATCCTGATCTCGAACCTGAAAATAATATATTGAGATGAAACATCTGTAAAACTGGCAAAGAAAGTGTAGTTGTTTCAAGTAACAATTTAGTACTGCAAATAAATACCTCATCCGATAAGAAAAAGTTCAGAACCTCAATAACTGTATCCGGGTCCGGAGAAGATGCTAACAAACCTGCACAAGGTCAAAACATTATGCAGAAATCCAAGTTACTTTCACCCAGACAAGAGACACAGGAAAAGGGAATGTCAAAGAATGCATTTCAATTCACCATTACAAAATCTTACGTAGAATCCTTTCCTTCTCTTGCACTGTATTGGCTTCTCTGTAAGCATTTAAAAGAGACTCAAAACCTTTCCTATTTGAGATGCTAGCATTCCTCATCACGGCAATGTACGCAGCCTGCAGGCAGTGGCGTATCTAGGAATTTTTCAAGAAAGGGGCGATATTTAAAAAGCTAAAAGCTCAAAAAGTGAAACTAGGCTGGTAAGTGGTAAGTTTAAAGTCACTCACGTGTAGGTAATAACTTACATCTAAATGTTTTATTGCCCAAAAAAAAAACAAAAAAACAAAAGAACTTGTTACAAGCAAGCATGGTTTATTTCAGAAGGGGTGTGCTGTCTTATTTTAAAATAAAAATGTGGTTATTCCTCTTTAAACACATCCACACCGTTTCATTAAAAAACAATTGAAAATGCACTGTTTGATTTTACAACACAAAGCCAAAACAGGTTGTTTTATTTTTTTTTGGTTACATTGGAGGAAAGAAACCCCACTGGGGTTCGATCCTGGGTGCCATGGGGGGAAGGGGGAATCCACCACCACTGTGGTGGGAACCCATTGGCAACAGGTTGTTTTATTAATGAAAAAGAATCACAACAATAATGCACACGACACCGTTTGTGTCAAATTATTTGAAAAAAGAAGGTCGTCTTCTTCGCCTCGCACACCGCTTCAATTAGACACTTCCTCAATACTTGAAATTTGCAAAACAATGATAGGCTCAGGCAAAACACCTCTGCCTCTCCCCAAAGTGAGCCTGCACGCGAGCTAACAAGCAGAAACAAAACAGAAGACAATTCTCTCGAGCAAAACAAGAACGTCTTTCGGGCATTTACTCGAGCAGTTGGTGGGCACCAGAGCAGAGGGGCAAATCTGATACCTCCAAGGCTTTTCTGGGCGAAGGGAGGTGCAGCTGCACCTCCTTGCGCCTCTGTGGGTCCGCCACTGCCTGCAGGACAAGGTTTGGAACTTCTACATATTATCTTTGAAGATGCCTACTATAAGGATGAGAATGTAATTACATATAAAGATTTAATTACCCCTTTTGTGTCAGCTGAAAGAAGTGGAGTGTTTCTATCATTCAATAATGTCTGAAAACGGTCTAATGCTTCTTTCTGCGTTTGATTGTGGCCAAAGATAACCAAGGCCTGCAAGATTTCTGCTCTCAGAAGTGCACTGAAATGATCCTCTCCAGGTATTGATTCCCAACCCAGTTTTCTGCATGAAAAAATTCAGATATGACATCTAAGTATGGTAGCATCAAAGTTTTGTTTGGTGATCCTAAATGAAGTATCAGCCACATAAACCGGAACATTACTGCAAGCATGACCTCAAAGAGGCTGGAATACATCATAAGGACAAACACTGTTCATTTTAGCATGTATATAACCCGATAAGCTTAACAAAGAAGGTATTGCCATATTAAAACTGTATTTGAGTTGTTCTTACTCTGCTGGAAACAGAAGGAGATTGGGTATTGCCATATTAAAACTGTATTAGAGTTGTTCTTACTCTGCTGGAAACAGAAGGAGATTGATGAAAAATTGTTTCAAATCATTTGCTGAATCTGGGATGGCCTCACTTGAGATTTTGACGACATTATAACAAACCTATTGGATATATAACACAAAAGGTGATGCTACCATAAATAGTTGGTGTAACTGATAATCACCAACATAAATACAGAAATTTATCCTTACGTCGATCAATTTTGTTAAGACAATATAATTAACTTCTTTTCTGTATACATCCATCAAGGAAAACAAAGAGGAAAGTGATTGTTCACAAGCTTCACAGAGAGCATATGCATCATCCAGAATGCCTGAAATGAGACGTGGAGTTATACATCAGTTGGTCATGAGTGGTTTATAGTGCCACAAAACCAAGTAAACAATCTAAGAAGTGAATCCACAGAATAAACTATAATATAGGTGGCTTATCATTCATCCTATTAATTTGGCCGATTTTCATGCTAACCAAGACAAGCCCATTCTTAATAGTTATCATAGTGCAGTTACTGTTACTTTGCCTAGTGAAGATAAGTTGTCCTGTTACAACATCCACCAAAGCATGAAGCACCATATTATCAAATCAAGCATATAACACTAACCAGTTGTCAATGAATACAAGATGCATAAGACCATGCGAAATCATTTATAGTTAACATAGTAAATGGCACATAGCACATACCAAACTTGTCTGTTGCTTCCAAGCTATTATGCTCAATAGCCTTCCTAAGTCGAGCTGCAAGCTTATCTTCATAAATGACCCTATAGAAACCACTCTGGTCGATATTAATCTTCACCCACAGTTGTTCATTATCAAAGGAATCAACAAGATCTGAAATGTCCACTTCTCTGGACTTTGTTTCCAAAAGGAAACTCTTGTGTCTGTCGTACGAACCAAGTGAAAAATTTATTGGAACAATCCAATTCCCATCACCTTGCAAACCGGATGACAGGAACTGTGTCTGCAAAACAAAACTTTATTAGATTTCTGCAGATAATAAGATTTCGGTATTGATCAGTTGTACCTGCTCAAATTCCAAAATATGCTCCTTGGCTTTTACAGATATAACAGGATATCCTTTTTCCTTTGTCCAAGCATCCATTATTTCGCTGACTTTGACACCAGATTCCTCCGAAAGAACACTCCATAAATCTTCCGTCTTCGCATTTTTTCCAGAATATCTTTTTATGTAGGAACTTAATGATTTCTGATTTAATATGAAGCAGCACATTTAAAAGAGATAAATTGAACTATGTTAATAATTTTTCACGCATTACAGAGTAAACTGATAATGAACTGCAAACTAGAATGACTTCAGAATAAACAATATAACTTGTCTATGCCATTCAGACCTTTTTGTTCAGAACACTATGTACATTGGCACTTTATGAGATTAAAAAACCATTAATTGCAGTTTTCATGGGTTTATGTTTATACTTTAAGAGAAAAAATTGATCAGTACTGAGCATTAGATTGCACATGGCATTTCTGAAAATTTCCCAGGTTTCTGGGCTAATTTCAAGCAGTGCATTTGGTGATCAGAAGAGTATTTCCACATACAATATTCACTATGAAAACTTGAAGTTATTGGTGATGCATGAAAAATTAAACTCATTGGTACTTATGGACATCAGTAAGGGTACAAAACTTGATCAAGCCCTGTCTGCCATGGATTATTTGATCACGTAGTTCGACTGGATAGTTTAACCTGGTTTTGTACCTGGAATATGTCATCCCCAAGATAACTCTGCAGCATTCGAATAACAGCAGATCCCTTTTTATAGCTGATATCATCAAAAACTTCAAGAATTGAACGAGCATGGTGTATCTCCACCTGAAATTATGTGAAACAGCAGTAAGTATGCTGCATCGAGCAGTTTCCCCTTTCTTTCTTTTTTCAGGATCAATGTTAAGATAAATGTTGGCACTTTGATCATTCAAGTGAAACAATTATATTCCATTGCTCCTTGACTTCTTACTGCTCCATATACATATATAGACACTACTGTTTTCAGCAGTTTTCACACTGAGCAATAGTATTTGTTGTTCTTTACCTCAATTGGATGCGATTGTTCCAGTGCATCCTTGACTAGGCCACCAGTAGTTTGTTGAAGAAATTGAGACCATATTTTCCACTCAGGAAATAAAATATCAGTGGCCATGTAACTTACCTGCCCGTATAAGATCAAGAAGGCACACAAAAATCAGATAGTTATATTTAGTGCAATGCTATTATGTTGGAAGGTAGAGCAATGAGAGACTCAAAATTACCCAAGTCGCAAAACCCTCATTAAGCCATAAATCAGTCCACCATTCCATTGTTACCAGATTGCCGAACCACTGATATGCTACTTCATGTGCTACAACAATTGCCATCTGAAAAAACAAGAAAAAGGGTATAGAATAGAACATTCATCACTGGACTTTTCAGAGTAGAAACCATACAAGAGAAACTTCTACATCCCCTTCAAATGTTGTGATTTATGTAGAGTATTATTGTATGACTGCAAAAGTATAACAAAGCTGAAAATATACTCTTTGCTTCCTTGCTGTTGTGGAATGCAAATGATCATAAAGCATTTCATTTTCACGGTATGTGATCAAACCATAATTCTCCATGGCCCCACCAGAAAATTCAGGAACCGCAACCATATCAAGTTTGGGAAGTGAGTAAGGCGTTGAGAAGTATCTGGATGAAACCATAACCATGTTAGAATTAGCACAACAGAGAACAGAAAGAAAGTTATGTATAATTTGGATTGTAAATTTATGTTGTTTTTTTTGCCATGGCCCACGGGTAATGACTCCAGGTTCTCCAGAGATTACTTTCAATTATTTGGGAAATGATTGGAGGTGGAAACTGGAAACTGCAAAGGGTGGAGGGCAGAAATTCAAGCTGTTCCGGTATTTTGCATTGATATTTAGCTTGGGTTCAGTGGTATAGTTAGGAAGATATATGGGGGAAAATTAGTGAAAAGTTTACCTCCCCTTGAACAAAAGAGAAGGCCAAAAATCATGGGAATGTTTGTTAGACTACAGAGTGCTGGATCTAATGTCATTCTGTATAAACAGAGAATCGAAATACATAAACTTAAAAATTCCCCCATCTAAGAATGAAGTAGATTACTTGGAGAAAAGATCAAGCGTCTTAACAGCAAGATTTAAAGCAAACTCCCCTTTGTCACTCTTCCCAACAGGGCAATATGCACGAACCTTTACCCCTGCAAACAAATTTTTCAGTAGTCTCTAAAGACGTATCGGTTAAATAATCGAACATTCTCCCACCTATATACATACCATCAGATGTTGTATCTTCAATATGTTCAAATAGGCCAACAACAACAGCTACTAAATAAGTTGACATAATAGGAGATTCCTCAAAATAAACAGTCTTAACATTTGCATCAAGCTTTTCACTGATAATTGGCATATTGGACAAAGCTGTCAGCTCTGATGGTACATCTACTGCAATCTTGAAGGTGGCCTGTCAAGAATGTACTAGTAATGTCAAAGCAGAAATGAGCAACTCTCAGATTCAAGCAAATCTAGAACAACCAAAAACACATTTATACAACCGTTTGACCAATGTGGTGGAGAAAAGATTTAACTTTCCCAGGGCTTTTTAGCAAGTGAACACGGAGGTTGCATCGAAAAGAGTTTCAAAAATTACTTCTCAAATACACACACCTTGAGTGCAGGTTCATCCCAACATGGGAAGCATCGCCTTGCATCCACAGGTTCAAATTGAGTGACGGCCATATTCTTTTTTCTCTCCTCCATCCAAGTAAGTGCTGTGCAAATTGTCAAATGCTTTCATTAAAAACCTTATTTGGTAGCAAAGAAACTACAAGGGACAAAAGCAAATACAACACAATTAAATGCCCACTTTCTTTGGTAAATGAAAATTTTTCCCTCTATTTCCTTCCAAACTACAGGAGCTTGTACTTGTTTTAAGTTTAGCCAAGTGGTAATTCTAAATTCAGGTTTTTCTTTTATTCTGTCTCTATCTTAGCAACCAAACAGACAGTTAAGGATGAAGAATTTGTGTAACTTGACAGCCTACAGATTTCTTCTTCCACAAAAAGCCCGCCTGAAAGTACTTCATTGCCTTTGGAAAAATAATTTTTCACAACTGCAACTTATGATTTACCTACAAATGATACAATTTTTCTTACCATTTATAGAAGCCTTTCAAGTGCGCATTAAGGACCGCAGAAAACCCAATCCCCAAAACTCCTTCACCAACACCAAGTGCTTGATTAAACACCAAAACAAGAAATTCTTCATCACCATCCAAAACAACATCACTTGGGCGGTACTGCTTCAAGTAAAGAATATAAAACTGTCAGTTAAAAGAAAACCCAATAAACAAAATCGAATCAGATCAAGTCAGTGATCAGAATCAGTAACTTGTCCATGAGAGTTGGTGAAGCAAACTTCATGAACATCAAGTTCAAGAGCATTCAAGACAAGAAACTTGGTCTCTTCAACAATGCTAACGTTAATCTGCACGGTGCCGGAGTACGTGCATGCTGAGAGATCAAGCTTGAGATGAAGATCATAGCGCCTTGGGATTGCAAAGTTTGGTAGCCGAGCTCGGCCTGTGAATTGCTCTATGCTCTGTTTCTGCTCCATTTCGGAGAAAAACTTCAGAACACACGTTTGTAACCCAAGTTTCTTTGCTTCTATCGTGACCAGGCGGCAATGGCAGTTAGCTGCTGATGCTTCAGCCTTGTGCTTTTGCTCAAAACGTCAACATGCCTATGTATCCTATCTTGTTTGTGTCTTTTTAGTCTAACGTTTGTGGGATTGTCAAGTCAAGTAGTTCATTGACATAAATGGTGGAAAAAAGTAACGTTAATAATCAATTCATACACAGGGTGGAAATTAGAAAAGAGCTTTTGGTTGTGCGAAAAAGTTTTTAGATTTAATCAAGTATTTAATCTATTTGCCAACACGGTCTAACCAAATGAAAAATGGCATTGACTTGTAAACTAGAGATCTCAGGTTCGAAATCCCATGGCATCGTAGTTGTTGTGTGTGAGAGAAACCCCCTTCTCCTGTAGTTTAGGAGAGAGACTCTCATGCAACGGGATATCACTTTTTACTATCCCGACCAATAACACAATGACACGTAAGATAACTTTTCCACGTTTCGTTATGTTATTGGCTAGGTAAGTTTTTTTTGGTAGTTTAGACTATCACTTCTACTACAAAAATCTATTTAATCTATTTATCTATGATTAGATGCATCACACTAGCGAGCAATACCGCATGCGAGACAGTTTACATATTATCCTTTTATTTCTTTAATATAGATATCTGTCATTTTCAAGAGTGGGAAATTTGGACAACTGTATCTGTCAATTTCGACAGTAGCATGAATTTCTTCAAGGGAACGAATTAAAGATTGCAAAAGCATCGAAGGAACCCCAATCCATAAGATAAGATATCATATGTGGGAGCGCATTAAATCAAAACCCAGAAAGCAAATAGGACAAAAGAAAACCAGAAATTTCCACCTACTTACAAACAATTAACCAAGCTGGTGATGCAACAGTGAAACAAGTGAGAATGAAAGTAAAAACTTGGGAGCTAAAGAAACTCACCATAAAGAAAACTGATGAATAATTAACTCGTACAAAATTTGGCAAATTCTGCTTCAGAATTGATCCCCTGAGTACTATAAACTAAAACAGTTGCTCAAAAAGCACTTAGAAGATGCCTAATTTTAAACCAAATAACAAGAACATAACAGTACACATAAGCAGCACTTGAGCAGAATGCCCCCTTACAAAACTAATTTTTCGGGGCCTTGCTCAACAAATACGTCTTCAGAACATCCATCACACACCCGAAATCCGCCCTCACTTGCACCGGCGGGTTAGCAAACCGGCAAGCCAAATCCTTAATATCATTCGAATGATATTCGATCTTCGACTGCGTAAATTTCAACCCATGAGCCGTGCTCACCACCACGGTACGGTCGTTAGCTCCTATGATCCCTTTGTTCCGAAGTTTAATCAATGCAGTCAATGCCACACCAGTGTGAGGACATATGAACATGCCAGTGGAGTCAGCTTGAGCCATGGCATCCATCAGCTCCTCCTCAGTGGCTTCCTCCACAATCCCATTCGAGTTCTTCAATGCATACACGGCTCTATCAATCGAAACTGGGTCACCAATTTGGATGGCGGATGCAAAAGTAGTGTTGGCCTTCACAGGCTTGAACTCTTGATCCCACCCTGACTTGTAATGCAAGTACAATGGGTTTGCATTTGCAGCTTGGGCACAAACAAGCCTAGGGATCCTATCAACTAGCCCCAACTCTTTGCACATATGAAACCCTTTATAGAAGGCATATATATTTCCCAAATTGCCCCCAGGAACTATAACCCAGTCAGGCACTTCCCAATCAAACTGCTGCAAAATCTCTATAGCGGCGGTTTTCTGACCCTCTAATCTCAAACTGTTCAAAGAGTTGGCCAAATAGATCGGCAGCTCCGACGTGACTTCCCGAATCAGTTGCATACACCCATCAAAATCAGTATCAATGCTCAACACAAACGCCCCATTGGCAATCGGCTGAACCAGCTGAGCCAGCGAAATCCGATTGGCCGGCAAAAACACAATCGAGGGGATCCCAGCGGAGGCGCAATAGGCCGATAGGGCGGCAGATGTGTCTCCGGTAGAGGCACAGCCAACGCCGACCACAGGGCGGTTCATTTTCCTCAGCCGGTTCACCTGGCTGACCAAAACAGTCATGCCCAAGTCCTTAAAACTGCCGGTGTGGCTAATCCCACAGTGCTTGACCCACAAATCGTTCATGCCCAGAAATTGTTTGCCATAACGCTCAGCCCAGACGAGATTGGAGTTACCTTCGAAGGCGGAGACGATATCGTCGCTGTCGATCTCGGGTAAGACCCACTCCTTCTTGCTCCAGACGCCGGAGCCGTAGGGCCAGGTGGTCTTGCCGATGCGGGAGTCGAAGAGGTCGCGCCAGTACTTGCCGTCGTAGTTCTTGAGGGCGGCCATGTCATGCTGGACGTCGAGTAGGCCGCCGGAGTTGGATCGGTAGACGATCTCATCGAGGGAGTAGGACTCGGAGTCGGCGGAGGCAGCAGAGGAAGGGTCGGCGTTGAAGGGGACGTAGTGGGCGGAGAAATGGTGGGTGTGGGTTGTGTTGTGGTGGCGAGCTTCGTCGCGAATGTTGTGGTGGGGGTGGTGGGAGGGAGGAGGAGGAGAAGGAGGCTTTGGGACGAGTGGTTGTGGTGGGGAGGAGGAGGAGGAGGAGCATTTGATGGTGGTGGTGGGGAAATGGGGTTTGGTTGGGGGTTTGGGGTTTTGGGGTTTGAGGTAGAGATGGGGAGATTGGAAGAGAGAGGTAGATGCCATGGCGGAGATTGGAGAGTGAGAGAGAGAGAGAGACTGACTATATGTGGGGTTTGGTGGGCGGTTTGTTTTTATATATCATGGTCAGGGACTGAGGGGGCAGATCTGGGAGGAAGATTTTCATGAAAAAGGAATAGCACTATTTGTAGGCAAAATTATAGTAAGGGTAAAGGGTCTAAAACCCCTGGACTATTTGGCTTGTCAAAATGTCCACCCTGAATTTTTTTTTCAGCCAATTTAGCTTTCGTATTAAATTTAATCGCCAATTTCACCCCCGCCGTTAGTTTTCATGCAATTTCATCTAATTTTCTGTCTAAATGTCACATGTTAGGCACGTGACTCACTGTTCAATTAAAATTTAATTTTTTTTAGTTTAAAATAATTAAATTGTTAAAACTACAAAACTGAAGAAAAAAATAAAAGAAAAGGAGAGGCCGAACCCTATCGCCCCC